GGGAGAGGCTTTAAATGAACTACATAGGACACTTCCTGAGCCCTGCTGGAGACAGATGGCCTCATTTTCTGGGCCGAAGCCAGTCAGTTGCTTTTGGATGACTACAGTGTTCTGTGATCCATGCTGTTCAGTGTGACCAAAATGGGGCAGCCAGTTTCTTTAGCTCCTCTCTGAACCTGTTCCCTCCCTCTGGCAGAGAGAGATTCACCCTTTTTCCTGTGTGCTTCGAATTAGGGAGCCAAACACCAGAGCCCAATGTTTTTATGATAATAATTCCCAAGGAACTTCTGAGCCAGCAATTCCGTCTGTTATGCTGATGCCACAAACAATTTTTCTCGGTCTCCAGTGAAATAGATACCATAAGAGACAGTATTCCTCTCTGTAGTTAACTGAGTAAAATCCCACACTGGTCAATGGCTGGTAAGTTTTGGAAAGGATGAAGACTGCATAAACATTTGGGATACATTAAGTATTGCTCAAAGGTACCACAACATAAAATCCTGTAGTACACACCATCTCCCGATCCCTCTGTAAGCTAGCAGTTCGGTATATGTGCCAAGCACAGTAATGGCTGCCGAGTCGTCAAAGACACTGAAGAGAACTAGGGTTTCCTGGAGCTTTGGGGAGGATCTGCTTCCCTGGTGAGCAAGTCTGTTTAGAGACTGCACATTGATGGCCTGGCTGCCATCACTGACAGGCATGTTCTCTTAGCTTTATCAACATTTACCCTTTTTGATAGTGACTCAGGGTCATTATAAAGAACTTGTTTGTTTGTTTGTTTGTTTGTTTGTAGACGAGGCTGTGCAATGGGATTGCCTTTTGCTTCTACTTTTGTAACTTTCTATTCTCTTTTGAAACTATTTTTCTAATTCTTGGAGTAGCTTTTGTTTCTTTGTTTTGTTCTCATTGTTGTTGTTTTCTTCTCTGTCCCCTCTCATATTGTTGGCTTTCTTATTTGTGGTTAGTTTGTCTGCAGGGTGTCAAATAGCCTCCTGCTTGCTCCATCTGGTTTGCTCTGTCCTTGGGAGCTGGAAGGCAGGGCTTGTCAGGACCTGTATAAATGGAGACACAGAAGACATCAGGGCAGGTAGAAACCTGAGAGCCTCTCTCAGGCTTCTGGCATTTTCGAGGCATGAAAGTAGCCATGAGTGTTTTGGCCAGCTTGCTGCTGGCTTCAGGTGTGTTTTCTCTATACTTTTGTTTCATTATCCTCTGTTTCACTGTCCTTCAGGAGGTGAGCTCAAGTGTTAGGGTTTCTGTGGCTCCTAGAGGAGCAGTAAACAAACATAAGGAAGAGTCCTGGGATAGAAGGGTTCCTAGGTGTGTCTGTGGATCCTGAACAACTGTGTATTGTGGGATAGTTTTATGCCTGATAATCCACCCCAAAAAGAGATGTTGGCCCAAAGTATACCTACCAGTCTAGATTAAAAATTTTTAGTGGTCTTTTTTTATCATTTTTTTATTTGTGTCTGTTCATGAGTGTGTGTATGTACATGTGAGCACCTGCATGGGGACATGTGGAGGCCACCAGACGATGGTGTTGTTCCTCCCCAGGTACCATCTACCATTTGTTTTGTTTCGTTTTTAAGACAGGTCTCTCAGTGAGCCTGGAGCTCCTTGATTGCCTAGATCAGCTGGCACTGAGCTCCAGGACCCACTTGTCTTTGCCCTACCCAGAACTGCAGTTATAGACATGTGTTGCCAGGCCCATTTTGGGTGTACAACATCTGTTGACATTCTGTGGCCCACTATTTGTTTTTGTAAATAAATTTTTATTAGAAGACAGCTGTGTCCTTTGTTTATGAATTATTAGTACAATAGCCAAGTTAAGTCATTACAACATAGATGAAAATCAAATCGCTAACAAAACCTCAATGATGTAACTGTAAGTGACCCTTTACAGGAAACCTTGATTCAGGCTGTAGACTGTTTAATTGTTATAGTTCTATCTGATGTCTTCTTAGGAACCATTTGGGTCAGTTCTTTTTTTTTTTTCTGATAGTAGCTTCAGCTTACATTTTTAATTTGTTTTAAGGTCTCTTTTGAGCAGGATGAGGAGTTATTAGATATTAATAAACCAAGGTAGGCTCACAAACTATTTCCCCTTCAGAGTCCAGGAGACAGCCTCTCCTTCCACATCTTCTTCAGCCAGTGGGGCCAGTCTGACGCTTCATTGAATGTCATTGGCAAGGTTTTACTGACCATTTAGCAGACCTTTTTATGGGAAATGCTTTCTGTAGCCTTTGCCTGCTTTTCTGCCTTGCTGACTTTTTGCCTTTTGGTTGTCAAAGTTAGTTTTTGTATATTCTGGCTGCTGGCCCTGTTGGTTATACTCATTAAAATCAACCTATGTCTTATTTTTCAAACACACACTTAGAAGCATATGCAGATCTATAGAAGCAGTCACACCCAAGACCAAGACTATTTTTCTTGGGAAAGTTTGAAAGCCTCTGAGACAGAACGTAAGGTAAGAGGTGATACCCTGTCATTGTCTCCACTCAGAGGTTGATGTGAGCTTGCCCTGCCCCCTCCTGGGCCAGTCAGCCTGCTCTTCCAGGCTGTTAGAATGAGTTGATTGGTATTGATGTTTTGACTGCACAGACATGACCCACCAGGGTGCAGGGAAGCTGAAGGCCACTGTGCTGAGATGGTGATGAGCAGAAGGCTGGGTTTGAAGATTTGCCATGGATGAAAACCAAATGTGATTTGTGGTTTTGGATTTCCCCATTTGGGTTTTGGCTGCAGTCAGACCTTGGTTCCAGCTTGATTAAGTTGAGCCTTCTCTGGTCCACTGTGATTTAAATAATTAACTCTTCCATTATCAGGCCAGATGACTGTTGTTTGACTTTACGTTGGTCCTTTATCCTTAAAACCCAGAGCTCTAGCTTACCCATCCCTCTAGTTCCTCCAACCTTTCAAATTAAATTTTCCACATTGAATGAAAAGGGAAGACAATCTATTGTCCTTCGGGTTTTTATAAGCATGGAAGTTGACCAAGTCCACACAGCTCTGATGTCTGAGTCTGTCAACAAAGCTTGTGGGGAGTGGAGCAGACAGGCTCCAATTCACACCCTCCAGTGCAGGACCATGGAGAGAGACGCACTGGGCCTGACTTGGCTTAGTCTATGAGGTGCTTCAGAGCCAGGCCTGGTGTGCACTCTGGTCCTTTTCTTGCCACATTCAGTCTAGATATAGGCTCAGTTCCTTCCTAGAGGTCCATGAAAACCCTCTTCAGCATCACCACTGTCCTTCCTTCTCTAGGCCACATACGCTGGGGGTCTAGAACAGATGTAGCTACATGACACAGCTAGTGAACCACACATAAACAACCTCACAGAAATCAGTGCATCTATAGCAGCCTGCCCCATTTCCCTGTCCTTTGTAGGAAAATGAGGACAAGACTCAGCCCAGGGGCCTGTTTTTAATCAGTGACATGACTGAGTAGAAATGCCTCTAGTAGCTGTTGTGGCTCACACTTTTAATCCTAGCACTCTGCGTCATGTCACATGTGGACATTTTCTTGTCAAGCTCATCTGATGCTGAAATGAATGTGGAGGAATTAACTTCATGGGTCTGCTACTGCCACAGTCTTACAACACTGCTGTTTAGCCCAGAAGAACACCATACCTGTTTTTATGCTCTGCGCTTGTCCTTGTGTGTTTTTAATAATTTTAGAGCATTTGGCCACACATTTCAGTTTTCACTGGATCTCATAAGATTATGGAGCTGATCCTGGCTACAGAAAAAGCAACCAAGGGTTGGGATTGGTTTCTGCTTGGTTTGTTTTTAGATAAGTTCTCATCTCATAAGCCTTGAACTCACAGAGGTCTGCCTGCTTTGCCCCTGGACTACTAGAATTGAAGGTGTGAGCCACTACACACAGCAACTGAAGACATTTCTACCCAGCTACTTCACTGATTGGAAATGGGGCCTTGCTCCCATTGTCCTGCCTGGGATGGGGAAGCAAGACACACTGTACTGCAGAAATAACTATTTTCCTGGGGAGATTGCTTCCATGCTGTTCCCTAGTTCACAGAACCCAGCACTGTGATTTCTTTTAAGGTCCTTGAACAGGTGTCCCATGGAGGTGCTCCTCAAGAGAGAGTCCCTGGATAAATTCAGGAAGAAATGAAGGCCACTGCTATGCTAGTCAGCCCAGAAGAATGAGGGATCTGATCTACAGAGAAGGCATCAGAGGTGCTGTGGCCATAGCTCAGTTAGTAAAGTGCTTTCCACATGAGTGCAGGGACCTGAGTTCAGATCTTCAGCATTCACTTACTTGTGCATGTGGTTGCTGGTCTGTAATCTCAGCACTTTGGAGTGGGGAATGGGGACGAAACAGGAAGAGCCCCTGAACTTGCTGCCTCACTCATCTAGCCAATTGATAAGCTCCAGTTCCAGTGAGAGAGCCTGCATCAAATATAAGGTAGAGATGGAGTAAGGAAGACACCAGCTATTGACCTCTGGACTCCACCCACATACACCAGCCCCACATTCACACACACAGAAGCACACACACGTAACAAGGACAGACAGACACACACACACATGCATATATACACTATTTTAAAAAAAAAAGACTAGAAGAGGGAGATGTAAGAACTTCTCATAGCTCATGAATCTAATCAGCTGGTCCCTTCCTTAGAGGCAGAAGGTCCCCAGGTTGACTGCTGCTTCTGACTCTGCTGTTGTCCTATGACTTCTCTCATCAGCCACCCCCCTGTAGATTCTATAAGTAAAGTCCCTGAGCTCTAAGCCCTGCCTCAGACTCAATATAGGGTTGATTGTTTAGAGAAGGCCCTGACTGCTGGCTATGTTGGGGTCACAGGACACCATAGCAGTAACCTGGAGAAGGGAACAGAATAAAGCTTATCTTGTCTGGGTCATGGCTGGCCAGTCTCTGGGATGGGCTATGCATCTAACCCTACAGCTTGACCAGAGAAGTCTCCTGGGATAAGCTGGACTCCCTGATGACCCACTCTGTTCTCTCCCCACAGCAGCAAACCCCCTGCTCTGCTCCACCGCCCGCTACCACTGCAGGAATGGCCTGTGCATTGACAAGAGCTTCATCTGTGATGGGCAGAATAACTGTCAAGACAACAGTGATGAGGAGAGCTGCGAGAGTTCACTAGGTAGGTGCTGCTCTACAAAAAACCAACCAACCAAACAAACAAAAAGCCACCACCACCAACAATCTGGACACAGAAGTCAGGCGTGGGAAGGAAGAGACAACAACTACATCTTCCTCCTAACAGCAGCTGTTAGCAAAATGAGGGAGAAGGAAAGAGGGGAAAGGGGAGAGGGGAGGGGAGGAAATGGTAGGGAAGGGGAGGGGAGGACTTGTTCACTGAACAAGGTCCCATGAATCTTGACAGGGGAGGAGGGACTTGACAGGGCTGTGGTGACTTTTTGTACTTGCCTTGATCATGGGTGTTACCTAGTCTTGATGGTGTAATGCCTACCGTTTTGACTTCGGTGTCCTTCCTATGTTGAGCACATATGATCATCTTTGGTTACACTAGGTGCCTACTGCATTGCTTTGATGTGGTTTTCCAAGTTATAGTGTTGTTGAGAGTCACATGAGTCATTTCCCTCCATTGATTTCCCTCCTTAGGATGAGTTCTGCAGAATGACATGCCTACATTTCTCCACACAGCTAGCTGAAATTTTCTCTTTGGTTTCACTGCTGTGCCCATTAGTTCTACTCTGACAGTTCAGTCACATTCATGGTAGCGCCTCTGGGTTTTGCTTTTTTTTTTTTGTCATTTTTGCTAACTTAGTAGGCATGAAATGATAGCCCCCCCCAAATGCTGTTATTTGCGTGTCTGATTATGAGGAGCACTGACACTCCCAGCCCCCCTTACATTTGTTTACTACTTGGTTCCCGCTTGAGTGAATTGCCTGTGTATATAAAAGCTCTTGATTTGGGAGTTATTTTGTGGAAACTGAAGGCTACAGCTGGAGGATGGAAGAGAGGAAGGACACTGAAGGATAAGGTCCCTCCTCCCCTGTCAAGATTCATGGGACCTTGTTCAGTGAACAAGTCCTCCCCTCCCCTTCCCTACCATTTCCTCCCCTCCCCTTCCCTATCATTTCCTCCCCTCCCCTCTCCCCTTTCCCCTCTTTCCTTCTCCCTCCTTTGTCTTCCCTTGAGTGCTCATTCATTCCCCCCCCCATACCAAGGCTGTCCTCAAAACTTACTGCATACCTGAGAATGACCTTGAACTTCTGCTCTTACTGCCTCATGTCCCTAGTTCTGGAATTATAAGCATAAGTCACCCTGCCTGTTTTTTTGTTTGGTTGGTTTTTGGTTTTTTAGAGCTGGGGATGAAATCCTGGGGTTCACACATGCTAAACAAATATCCTATCAACTGAAATACATCCCTAGCTCCCCAGCATGTGTTTATTCAGTGATTACAACAAAGTACAAAGCTTTTTTAAATGTGTATCTATTTTAAGACATTCTAAAGAACATGTATTTCTAATGTTACAAATTTGGTTTCTTTGTATGCGATCTCTATTTCCTTCTGTTAAAGTGTTAATATGACTATGATTCACCCATATTGTTTCTTGTTGGTAGAGTTCATTTGTTTTTCAATGTTCTACTGAATGGTCATATTTGTAGGTTTAATAAAACTGGTTGTAATATGTTTGGAGGTGGAGATAGGTGGGGGGAAGTTTCTGGAGGACAAATACAGGTTATTTTCAAGGTCCTAGCTTTTATTTTAGTTGCTGCTTATTATGTCATTACAAATACACGAATGAATGAGCAAATGGACCATACTCACATCGCCAGTGGGATGTGGACCAAGCGGGAATTATGACCTCTAAAGTCTGTGTGAGTGAGGACCATAGAAAAGGTAAAATGTGTGTCGGAACAGACTTTGCCAGAGTCTCCAGAAAGGAAGGGCTCAGTGGGGTGAGTGGTGGTAGAATTGGAAGGGTTTTTTTTTTTTTTTTTTTTTTTTTTTGTAGAAACTTACTTCTTCATTGGTGCTACAGTAAGAATAAGTGTGCATCCAGCTGCAGCCGCCACTGCCACGTGTGGGGACTCTCCTGGAATGAAAGTGCTGGAAACCCACTGCAGCACAACTGAATCAAGTTGTGTTTTAATACCATGCTGGGTAGTTCTAATGCCCAAGTCTGAGAGCAACTGCTCTGACCTAGCTCTAACCTCAGAGAGGGTTTGAGCCCCATTTACCTAGGGAATGTTCAACTCCTGTGCCTGGCTATGCTTTACAAAGTCAAATTTTTATAAAGGAAAACATTTGTGGAGGTAGAGCCAGTGTTAGATGCCAGTGGGGATGGCTATCACAGAGTTGAATAAATACCCTGATGGGAGATATGGAGGTTACTTTCCTATGAAGACTGTTTCTTACCTAGTATCTGGTGTTCTTGTGTATGTTGGCCTCACGTATGCCTGAGTGTTTCATGAAAAGGACTCAGATCTAAGCTTTGAAAGAGGGATACTGATTTGTTTGGGCTGTTGTTCTGCATTCCTCTGTGTGGTCATATTGGCAGCATCCATTCTCCAGTTTCCTGTGCCATTTTGCTGACTGGCTTGTTTATTCCTTGGAGGGATGGCTGGTAACCCCTCTGCAGTCTGACTGAAGTCAGTGCTTTTAAGTTCTGCTTCTTTTTTCTCTATTTCCCTCTCACAGACACAATGATTTTAGAAGTAGTTGGTAGTGCCTTTGGCTTCTGGACATTAGTGCTTTTTGGATTATTTTGATTATCAGTCCACCATGATGGACTGACACCCTGCCTCCCCCAGGCCATGTGTGAAGTCACTTGGTATCTGGTATCGAATTAAAGACTTTGAACCATATTGAAACAACCTTCCCCTCCCTCCCCCCCCAAAAAAAAATGGAAGGGAAAAAAGGGTTGGAGACAGACAAATACACATTCAGCCTAACTCTTGAGGGACACTGCAGTAGAGCTGTCACTATCTAAATGACTTCAGGGGATGAGTAACACTCATGTGTGAGGTGACCATTGTGCTGGGACTCTTTCCTTCCACACCAAGGAGTGGAAGGTGTATCTCCATTGCCTCTCTAATCCCAGAGGTCCTAGCTAGTGACCCAGTGCCTCGCCCATAATGCGGTAAAGTGTTGACAAGTGGTGGAAATGAATTTCTGTTATAGGTACCTGTGCTTACTTTGCACTCTGTGGTATCACAGCATGTCTTTGTTTTAGTATGGGAGTGAGACCACCCATAGTTCATTAAGGTAACCAGAAGTACTATTGTCACATGTTGAGTAGGGAAGTTTCTGTCATTCCCTCTAAGGGAGTGTGTCCCAAAGTAAGTACCCGATATGAGTAAGTCTTGGATGTGAGTCCCATTGGCCAGCCTGTGTGTCTGCATCCCTTCTCAGCTGTCTTGTCTCTCCCTGCATCAAATGAGAGTGTAGTACTCAAGGGTCCACTTGGTACCCTCTAAATATGAACTGCTTTCTAACCTTGTTGCATGACAAATGGCTGCCAGTCCTGTGAGAAAAATTTGCCTGTGGTGGGCTTTAGAGAGAAGGGGCTCTGCAATGTCTTCCCAAAACATCTCAAAGACTTCTTCACTGCACAGAATATATCGTGCCTCATGGGATAGATATGAGCGGTTTCAATGTACTGGGTACTGGGCTCAGTGCCTCTGTACGTGAGCTCACCCCTTGGGCTTCTTAGCCTTTGAAAAACCCTGTGCTTTCAGTTGATGTGGGAAAAGAAAGAGGCATTTTACAATGTATATTTGGAGAAGTGAATAAAACTGATTTCAAGGCAAGGGCCTGAGTTGTTCAAAATGCTTTTCTCCTATTCTGAGCAGGCTGAATTAAGCCTCTGTCCACTGTGGATCCTCTCTGAAAATGTCAACACAGTCCGTTAAGATCTGGGAGCCAGGAAGACTATAGGAGTGTATTACAACATGCTGTGCAGGATGTGTTAGAGACTATGTGGTGGGGTGAGCTTTTATCAGGGCATTGATTTGCAGCATGTATAAAATACATTCAGAAGGTGTCTTATACTTTGGAATTGGGATGCTGTGTATTTTAGATGTAGCAGCTGCTGCCATGCATATGATGGTGAACACTATCTTGGTGACCTTAAATGCTACCCAAATGTGGCATTGGTATCTGCTGATGCTACTTCCTGACATTCATGCCTGTGTGTAATCCCACCCTTCCGTAAATGATCTGGCTTGTTTGGCTAGTTCATTCTCTCTCTCTCTCTCTCTCTCTCTCTCTCTCTCTCTCTCTCTCTCTATGTTTTTCAATCTCCCCCCTCTCTCTTTCTCTCTCTCCCCACCCTCTCCCACTCTCTGTGCTTAAAATTGGCTATCTTAACTTTTGAAAAGTACTTTACCTTTTTAAAGTCCAATAGCAGAATTATTTTTTTCCATTTTTCCATTATGCAACCAGTTGCTAGGACTTTTATATCTTGAGAAACACTGAACTTATTTAAGAAACAGAGAAAATAAATGTTCTCTGTGTCACCCCATAACCCTGATAACCACTTTCCTCTTTCTGCCTTGATTAACTTGGTAGTTTTAGGTACTTGTAGAAGTAAAATGGTATAACATTTGTCTTCTTTGTGAGTGCTTAGTTCATTTAGCATGTCATCTAGGTTCACCTATTTTATAGCATGAATGGCAGTTTCCTTCCTTTTAAAGGCTGAATATTGTTCCTTTTTATTGATGTACCACATTTGATTTATCAGTAAACACTTGGGCCACTCCTACTTTTTGACTATTGTGAACAGATGTACAAATTATAACCCACTGTTAACAAAAGAAACACAGCAAACCTGGTGGGCTGTCCTTTTCAGGATTAGGCTATGAATACTCCTCCCCTCTTACTCTGTCATGCTTTCTCTGATGACAGCCACTTTCCATATTGTAAACTGTGAGCTGCAGAGGCTCCTGGAGCAGGGAGTTGAGGGAGGACTCTAACCTAAGGTCAGTAAGGAACTGAGATCTAGCAGCAACATCAGAGGTGAGGCTGGAGGGGGAGCCTTCCCTGAAAACCTCGGTTGTAGCCTTGCAGGGGACCCAAGCCAGGGTTAAGTTAGATAGCTTGTACACAGAGTTTCTCTCAGGGGGGCCCCTGTGATTAGTATTCTAGTCCTAGGTCTTGGGCATCAGCCA